CAGTCTTTCCTCGAGCCTCTGATCCAAAGTATTTATATAGTTAGCATTGTGAGTGTTCTTTTATGGGCATTATAGCTTGAATGTTACTGATTTCGCATAGGAAAGGGGCAGGTGCCTCGAAGGGGGTACTGAACGATCGCGGGAGCATTTGGGCCACTCGGTCCCCACCATAAATTATTCATCAGTGTGATAGCTGAGATTCGGCCAATTTCGGCTAGTCTAAGAAATCTCTTGGAGAATAACCTGTATCACCTGTCGTCCCGTTAATCATCGACTTCCCCGGCGGGTGCCAGTAACGTCTTCATTCGTCCGTGTCTCGGCTGTTATCCCTTAGTCCAGTGAATCGTCCTCGCTTAAGGGACACGGGGTCAAACATCGCTTTCGTTCAAAAATGAGCCTCATTCCTCAGAGAATACATCCAAACAGTGACATCGTTCATATAAAATATTTCTGACAAATCTACACTCTACAATCAAGTACTTATGTTTATGCATTTCCTATATTCACTATTGACCCCCTTAACGAAGCCTCGGATCAATACCTTTGGATTAGCAATGTTTAGAGTTTTCACTCTCTGCGTATTTAATTTCCTGCTCGCTTACCTTCAGAGTTTGGGAAGGTAGTATGAAAACTGCGCCCTAATGAGGAGCCTCCAAGAACTATCATTTTCCACAGATTAATTTGTTCATAGGGGATACACCCACGATGAACGAGATTCTCGCCTTACCTGCTTTTCTGAATCGAATTTCCTGTAGAATTTAATCGTAGAATAGTGGATAAGTCTCCTTTGTAATTCGGTGTATTATTGAAGGGCAGTAATTTTGGGGGTTTTAGTTTACCAAGTTTGCTTAAATCCTAGAAATTGATATCGCGTTGCTAGCCGGTGGGGGACGGCTAGATGGCATTTTGAGGTTCTCTTGTACTAAGCAAATCTTCTATCTCCATCTTACAATGCCATAATGGTGATCAAATCCACCCCTACCTCCCCCCCNACACCTCGGCTGTTATCCCTTAATCTCCTTGTATAAAGTTTGTTTGAGCTTTCTGGAGGAAGGAGAAATACATCAATAAAGTAACCCAACGCTTCGGACTGATCAAGTCTTTGAGTTCAGAAAAGGCCATAGATAAACATGGATATGTAAATATCTCGGCTGTAAAGTTCCAAGAAAATGGAAAATGCACGATGAACTGTCCCTTCTTTTGCCTCTGCAACTAGCTAATATTAATGACTATTCTTAGCTTCGGTTTTTGAAGAAGCTTTCCAAGTGGATGTTGGAGACTTGAATCGAGCGGAAGCAATCTTCTAAAGAACCCTCAGTTCCTTTTTCTTTGGCTGAACCCTTGTGCAGCTTATTCAGTTTCTTCTAGAGACTCCTGAAGCTGAAAGTATTAAGGTAGGGAATTTCGTGATGAAATTGAGGTCTCCATTTAGCGAAATCATAATCTCGGATTCGAAACGGCTACCATAACAACCACTCACCAGCACAGTCTTCTCACCAGCGAGTATCGGATCATATCACTTTTTACTCTTTTTTCGCATCGTTATCATAAGAAGTTGTGCCCGTCGTCGACCTTTTCTTCCTCAGTCAATTGTTCTAAAATTATCGAGCGCGCATAGCTTTAGGAGTACTCTAATCCTTCAGTAAACCCTTCGGCCATATCATTCACGGAACCTAAAATATTGCTCAGTACTTTTGATATAAATGTATTTCTTTCTTTTGGCCAGCTCCTGCCTGGAAAAACAGGCCTACAGTAACCCCATTGAATAGCTCGTCTCGCTGTTTTCACCACGATTCCCGCGCGTTAAGCACCGGCACACGTCACACTCCAACAAACTACTACATCTGACATATATACTTCTATCTCCCTTCTACTGAGAATACTTCACTTAATCACCTCGGCTACCGTAATCACTAACGATGACGTCATACGCACTTACACCTACCGTATACTTGTACTTACCACATGTTCTGTGGGATGCCGTTCGTGTATGTATGCTTGCATATGTAGGTGTGTCTAGTGTTTTTAGCAAGAAGCCGTAGTAACTAAACTAACACACACGTTATCTAGCCGGTAAATCCATTAGCCATTTTCTATTGTGTTCAGGTAATCCCTCCCAGACTGCTTTCGCCACGTCCTAATCCCCACGGCGCTTTCAAAAAAACCACCCACTTATCACTCACTGACGCTTGAGTTCTAGTGTCAACATCACTGTTATCGTAGCTTGACTTTAGAGTTCTGAATGCTGAATGTTCTGAATGGATGCTCCAAGATGAGCGCCTCCTCCAGCTCGCCTTCATTTGTCCAGCTCGTATAGAAGACTACCTTTAATTTCTATTCATGGGAGATGACTTATGAAGCCCAAACCTAAGTTTCGTGAATTACGGTGTTTTGTACACAGCGATACTTACTTCACGGAAATTTATTAATTTGCTCAAAATATTCGCACGTGCTTCCTAGAGGCTACTCGCACCCCTCCCGAGGTACCACCGGTCCATACTTGCAAAACTGTGATCCTATTGGGGCACTAATGGCACAAGAATTGTCTGTATTCTTGCCCCACTGCGAGCAGGACTTGAACGTCTCTTGCCCCTCGTCATGCCTTATTCGGAACGAAAACCTAGAGGTTTCGAAATTGTCGAGGATGATTCCGCGCTGGAAAGTCGTCATTATTGAATCCTTTCTTCTGATGGGTTTCCCTGCTGGGTGGAATAACTAGCCGCTAGGACCGAACATAAGCATTACTAGACGGTGAACTTCTTATCTGTGTCCAAGACAACTGTGGTTGGGACCTCAAAAGTTGGACCTCATTGCATTATCTCCAGAATAGAAACTTTTCATACAAACTTAATGTTCGGGTTGAAGTTTGGTACGGAATAGACGAATATAACTTCGAGCGGCATGGTCCTTTCAGACTTTCCCTAACAAGTGTTTGCAGAGATGTTTTCACTTCCATCTCTTATGGAAAATGAAAGCCTCTCAGCTGAGGCTTTCATTCGCCTTGCTGTTCTTCAGTGAAGATCCATCCCAAATGAGCTAAGCACTGAGCTGAAGATCTCCCCAATTTCAAGGATTTCCTTTAAATTTTTCCCGAAAGCTCCCTATCAAGCTGACGGTCTCAACTGTGGACGTTTTCCATGAACAAGAATCTGTCAACGTTCGATCGATTGATGAAACCCCCTCGGGAGAGCGATGTGTCTGTCTCTGACTTTATTTTCATGTGCCTGTCAGCCATCACTGCTTCTGTACAGGAAATGTCGTTTATTCAGATATGTAGGTCACCTCTGGCCATGTTCAATATAATAGCTAAAAGTAATCTGCGAAGACGTGATTCATCCAATTTTCTTTTGTTTTGTTTTTTTTTCCAAAGACTTCATTTTCAGGGTGTGTCAGGTATGGATTTGAATACGGAACTGCAAATCAAAACCGAACCCTACAATCCGTTGGCACCGAGTCCTGCATTTCTTCATCCCTCCATTATGGGGTAAGTCATACTCTTCGGGATTGCGGGGATCACGATGAATACTCTTGATCTCGTAAGTATTCGGACTTGCTGTTATGGGAGGTGTGTTCCTATCTCTTAAGATAGGAATTTCTATTGTAGTCATCAGTTATGGTTTCTAGTCTTTTTATTTATTTTTATAGTTCCTAACCTCGAGACACATCTCAAGCCCCAAATTTTCGGGTCTCCCCTGTTAAAAAAATTCGTGTTCCGATTGTAAACATTCTAGTTCTCTACCTTCGTTTGTGAAAGAAATATTTGCTGTCTTCGATCCAAAAATGGACCGTAACCAAAGCTCCTGATGTCCTATAGGTCCATGCCGAATCCCCAAGGGTTCAAGGAATTACCTCTGGCTAGATGGAGCAATAGAACTAGAGAGTAGGAGCCATAAGATAGCCGTTAGAGCACTTCATCTACCTTCCTTAACTAGCCTGACCTATTTTCTTGTAGTCTTCCTATTCCTCATTCCCTCCTCCGATCATCATCCTTCTATTGAGCGCATCTTAGCCGTTGTCTATTCGGTTGTGCATCTCTTTCGTACTGTATTTCGTTGAGCAATTCATAATTCGTTGGTGATTCATGCACGTCTTCCGGCGCCGGACGGACTGAATGGATCGGACGGCGCGCACTGGCCTCCACATACATTGATTACAGAAAAACTGAGCTGTGTTGTTGATTCGGGATGCAGATTGTGGAAGAGAAGCGTACTTAGGCCACCAAACCTAAGTTTCTCATCAAGGGGTCCGCCAAAGGAATCGAGACAGACGCCTGGATAGATAGACTGCAGACACCAGACGAGCACCCAGAACTTCAGATTTGCCATGTACCCCTTGAGGACCCAGAACTCAGAATGAAGTTTCGGGGTAGGGCTTTCCAAAAGAAGAGGATCAGGAGGTTAGGCTTCATGTCATGGCGCTAGGCTTCCTGTGTAGAAGGTAATCCGGCCACGCTTAGGATTAGCCAGGTGGCCAAAAGCGTGATTACTGTCATGATCAGAGGTGTCCGCTAGCTCATCAGATGAACAGATGCTAATCGTTTTGGGATTACCACTAGTAATTCTCTGTTATTTCAGTTCGACTGTAGATTCTCAGGGGTCAAACGTGTAGTGAAAGCTAAATTCCTTTCCTCATATGTGCGCACTATAAATGCCACCCCGGATCCTTATGACTTTAAAGGCTTTAGCGGCCCGTATCAATGGCCGAACTAGCTTACCTAACTTTATCCGATATTGCTATTATTAGCTCGGTTTAGGGCATCCTTAACCCTCTAGGGGCTCAAACACATGGTAGGTGAGAAACCCTTACTTTCTAGCACGAGAAACAGGAGGGGTGGGCAGAACGAGTTTCGGCTCAGTCAGTCTGTGGCGAGAATCGAACTATCCAATGTTACATTCAGTTGTACCTTGTTAGCGCCTCTAACCAATGGTATATTCAGTTCTTGTGGAAAGGTCATACTATACTTGTAAGCCTTTAGGCTGAACCCATTGCAATGCGACTTCATGCCACCTCAACCGGGACCGTTCGGCCAACAACCGAATCCGTTTGCTCCACAGGCTGCTCTCTTCTACGGCCAACAACCGCAGTTTAGCCAGGCGGCTGCCGATTCACGTCGTGGTAGTCACGGAACAACAAGGTGAGTCAAAAAGTCCGTTCAAGGTTTCACAATCCTAAGCGTTATGCAGGTAAGTAAAACTGATGGCTTAGGCATATAGGCGATTCAGATTCTTCCACCAGTCGTGGACAAGGTGATGATGGTGGTCGGTTGTGGTGGCTGATGCGTTATTAGTGAAAAGATAAAAAGAGATAATTGGTGATAATGTGATGTAAAGAAATCAGTTACATGAGGATGATACAAATGAATCTTCCGATTCCAATGGTATGATCCTCAATTGCAGTTCAAGTTCGGCGGGCAGCCATACTGGCACGCCGTCTCCGCATCATGGCCCGCAACCGCCGCCGCCATCGCCGGCCACGGCCTATCACTTATTTCGATTCGGCAACTGGTAAGATTACTCCTATTGCTATCTTTATCACATCCTTAGTCGGTATAGGGGTCCTGAGGTGAGGAATTGTCACTGAGGGGTGCTTGCAATCTACGAAAAGGAAACAGGCCTGCATCAGAATATTCTGAATCGTAGCTGGTATACCACTTAGCTTCCAACTCCTCAACCTCTTCCCTCTCTTTTCCTCATCATGATTCTCCCAGGTCGGTTTGCTTTTTTGGCCTGCTTTGCGAGAAGGATGGGACAGAAGACAGTCTCTGAGCTAAGAAATCTAGAGGCTGGGCAGAGTCAAGATCTCGTTTATGGGTTGGGCTCGGATTATGAGACGCGTGTGGTTCTACAGGATGAAAATTGAGACCGTTTCGACTTGCCCAATTGGAAATTACCTACTGATTGCACATTACTGGCTGTCGCATCCTGATCCCCTTTGAAATGTTTTCAGCAGATGTCTACTCACTTAAATGATTGCAAGCTAATTTAGCATGTTACCGCAAACGTTTGACTTTCCGACGGCTTCCACTGCTACGGCAGCATCAATGGAAGAGGATTCGGAGAAGGTGTGCGCAGTATGTGGCGATCGAGCGGTCTGTTTTCACTATGGCGCACGAACCTGTGAAGGATGCAAAGGATTTTTTAAGGTAACAGTGGAGTACAGTAGTGTCCGTGTGTACTTCTCCTGAATCCATGTAACGCCTGTTTTGATGGAATTCACTTCATGGATTTCTGAAACTACGATTACGTCGTCTTCGCTTAGCTATCACTTAGACGGCTTCGAAATGTTTTTTAGGCTCTTGGGATCTGGGAATATAATATTCAAGTTTAGAAATAACCTGCTACTTTCTAATGATCATAACTGCGAGGATAATTGGGGTGACCTACTTTTTTGTGGAATTCGCCTTGTGATTCCAACAGGGAATCAAACAGAAGGAAAAAATCAATTGAACAGTTTCAGATTCCCCACGTAATCGACTCTTAAGCAGGGTTTTAAATTTATGCATATTTGACTAATTTGATGACCTAGAGGGGTTCATAATGTGTACAAGGCATCCTCCCAAACAGGAAATATATCATAGGAACGGTGCATGTTTTGGGTAAGCAGGAAAGAGGTACGTCGAAGGCGGTTGTATTGTTTTAGGTGATCTAGATAGCACCAATTGTTCCCTCCAAAGGAGTGTTTGAGAAATATTCATTTGCCTCTTAGTAGTTTTCCAAGAAACTGAAATTGAAAAAGTGGCACAAACGCGGTATTGCCTGGTTCCGTTTAATCCTTTCCGACTGTAGACAAATGTTGAAAATTCTGTGAATAAGACCATTCCGATTAGCGGGTAGTGCAGTGTTGGTCAGCTCTGTATAAAAGTAATAGCCAGTAGTACTTTTGATGGGCTACAGCTTGTTGATCAAAGCTGCCCAGGGTTTAGAATCAGATGTAAAATCACGAAGAACTATCAAATATTTCTAAATAGTCATTTTTACAGAGAACCGTCCAAAAAGCATCCAAATACGCATGTGCCGGAAATCGGAATTGCCCCATCGAAAAAAGGTATCGATCTCGATGTCAAGCGTGTCGATTTCAAAAGTGCCTCAGTGTCGGGATGGTGAAGGAGAGTAAGTTTTTCCAATGGTTTCTGAGTGAATATACATAAGCATGTTCGAGAAAAACGACTGGTTGCACACCCACCTCTTGTTTTTGGAGGGGCCCTCTGGTTCAATAACATCGACTTCTTAATTAAAATTTATTTTCATTTTTAGTCGTTCGACACGGTTCGTTGTCAGGCCGACGAGGTCGGCTGTCATCGAAAACGAAGAGTCATCGTGGTGACGAACAGCCCAGCCCTCCGCTACCTCTTCTGGCATTAATCGTTCGAGCTCATGACGCCTACAAGACGACACCGACACCCGTCAGATATGTAAGGGGGTTTTTTGTTGTCAAAAAAAAATTCCGAAACATGACATCCTCAGGAGCTGCCAGTTGAATTTGAGTCATTGAGTGTTCTTTAACCCTTTTAATGTCAAGTAACCTGAACTAGGTTCGGGATTAACCTAGACAAAGGAATGAAAGATCCCTTAGAAATGGCGTTTCTACTACTTAATCCTTACCATTGTTGAAGTACATCCTCCGTTAATGGCAGATACGCTATCAGTTATTTGTGGGAATGTTAGAGTAACCTTTTCTACGGAATAAGGGACCGACTGGATACCTCGATTCAATAAATGAAATTTTTCAAACGTGAGTGAAACTTACGAAGGGGACCTGAAGAATACTTGTCACTATTACAATTAGGAACAACTGAAAACTATCGGATATTAGAAATGCTAGGATCCTTCTCTTCTGGTACGGGTTGTATCTGATGGGAATCGATTCAAATGGACCACTTGAGCAATTATCCGACTATTCGATTATATTTTTTCAAATTCCCTTGATACCACTGAATTGTTAGGTAAGTGGGCGTGACTGAGCTGCTCTCCCATTGGTGGATCCTCCCCCTTCAGTTGACAGTCGTCTCAGACGAGGGGATCATTTGTGGCCAAGCCTCGAACGAAAATGAAATGGTCCTTAGCATGGTGGAACGGTAAATGCGTAGTTTGGACTTATTGCCCAAATTCCTGTTGCAAGCTTTCTTCGTCAGGAGCTTAGATGAGCCTCAGATAAAGTCGGAAGTGAAAGAACCTATCAATCACACGAGCAGTGACAATGGACCCTGCTGATGTCTTCTGGGGAGTTCACTTCTGGGCCCATCACATTATTTAAAGAGCAGGGTTTGTTTCCCACCTGAGAAACTTTAGTGTTTACAGGGATCAGTCTTAAATATTTCTTGTCTCGATACTTTGTGACTCGCTAGTTTAGGAAGGCCACTTTCATGTCTGAAACTTCCTACACTCTCCGATTTCTTACCATAAATTCGCACTCATTTCTATCTTGGAAGTTTCTAACTTCCAACTTCGGTCCAATAAGAATTTATGATAACCCTTCCCGTGAATTTATTCCTCACCCCTTAACTGTTATTTTGTGTTTTTCCGTCCCTCGTTGGGCAGCCATGGGACGCAGATTACATAAATAAATAAGTAAATAAATAGAAAAAATATCTAATAAACGATGTAAATTGAAAATTCCTTGCTTAATCCATTCACTTGGAAGATTCGATTTTTAGGCTAGCATGACATCTGAGCATGTGGTCAGCCTTTTGGAGAAGGAATATCATGCCATTCAACTATTTGTCTCCAGTATGCCACATATCGATGAACTGGCAGAGACGGATATACCGAAGTTGTTATCGAGAACAGTATTCCCCATAATGGCTGTTAGACATTGCTATCGGTAAGTCTCCTATGCTCTAGTGACAAGTAAATTCTTCTCGAGAAAGATAGGGCTTGTGGACAGAGTACTTGGGGCATTTACTCCACGCAGTCCCGAAGGGATCCTATGGGTCAAGCGGAAATGGTCAACTAGAGCTGAGGAAAAGCTCGTTGATAAGTAATCGATATTTTGGATTAATAAAAGCAATCAGAATTGTTTTCAGTATGTCTGAGCCAGAAGTGGTGTTCGAGTGCGGCTCACGTGTTCCGTTGCCCAGTTTACCGCCTCCATTCATCCCCTTCTTCCGACGAGTAGCTGAAAAGGCGGCAGGCTTCAAAACTGTTGTCGATTGGGAGCCACAATCATACTGTGCTTTACAAGCGATGCAATTCTTTTCCGGTAACACAGGTAACTTTTTGGTATCCAGGATATGCAACTACAAATTAGAGGGATAAGCATGGATCCTCACACTTGAGCGTGCTTTTTCCGCGTACAGAACTGCTTGGGTAAGAACATCGAGTTTTTACATTCTTCCATTCCATTCAAAGGCAGCTGGTTTCTTGGACTAACCCTGTTGAACTGAATTAGACCCAATGTTCCTATTGGCGGATTGTTGAATTGTGTGACCGTAACCCGTGCGTAGCTAGACAATCTATCATTGGAGATGAGATGGTGGGGTACATGCACGTCTTCATGTACTGTTTAAATATACTGGGAGATACTGGGAGACTCTTCCTCTCAGATCGGGTAGCTATTCTTGAGCCTGATTACATCATTCCCTTAGTACGTACCCCTCCATCTCTCTCTGCTCGGTTTCTGCACAAATTAATGGTTTTTGTGAATCTACGGAAAGAATTTTGTCCCCGTCCATCTGAAAGTACGCTTAAGAGAGTACACAGTTGCAAAATTGTGGGCACGACGGAACCCCATTATTCAGACAGTAACCTCCTGGAACTGCATAGTAAAGCAGCTGCCGATCATGTACAGAGCAAAGTCGTCAATGCATTGAAGGACCATTGCAGTACTGCACAACCGAACAAACTAGCCAGAATCGTAGAGCAGGTGGATTCGATCGATATATATCAAATGCATATCGACCGCTACAAAGTTTCGTCGTTAAGGTTTACGCATTTGATGAGTTCCATATGTTGGGAGCAGAAATGATTGAATGCTGTCTTGTACATCACATCAGTCTACCTCCACATCTCGTCCGTGTCACCGAGGTATTTCCTTTTCGTCACGAGCGGTATAGCGTAATTCACAGGGCATCCGCATCCATTCAGTAGAAGCGTTACTTTTGAAGCGAATTCTTCGATTTTCATTGATTTACATTTATTTATTTATTTATTTATTTATTTATTTATTTATTTATT